ATCAACTTATTTATTATACATATTTCGTTTTTAAAATTTATAGTTCATTAATCAATGTTTACTTTTATTATAAATATTATTTGGAAAGAAAATAAAGAAAAGAAAAGATAAATTAAAAATAAATAAAATTTTAATAGTAATGGAAATTAGATATAATATTTTTAGTTCATTAAGGGTATCTATGTAATCAACCATTGTGAAAGTTAACGTGAGCGCGACACATAGAAAACTGACTTCTCAAATAATATTATAGAGATTTAAAAAACTTACTTTTGACTCGAACATCAGTTTATCTATCTAAACTATGTGATTCTTTCTTGACTTGTCTAGAAATGAACTAAAACGCAAATATTTCTAAGTATGGAAAAAATAAGTTAGAAATAATATGATAGATTAGAGTATATATTTAATAATAACTAAAGTTTATTTTTATGAGAAATAATAAGAAGTTAAATAATGGTCCAAGTATGACTTCTTGTAAGTAGATTTATAGCACTTTTGTTTTAATAATATAAATGAAGGTTCATGAATCTGAAACTTTACAAAAAAAAAAAAAAATTGCATTAACATGTATAAAAGCTACAGTTTTTCTTTTTAAAACGGGAAAATGTACTTTAAATCATCAAATTTTAAATTTGGTTGAAAAACATCATAAATTTTCTCTTGGACTATTTAAAACCTCAACTTATTTTAACTAGATGTTTTAATCTCTAACATATTTTAATTAAGCCATTTATAAGACGTCATTCAAATGATTAACAGATTGAGTTAACGGTGTTAATCTCCATTACTAGTCTGTTAATTTCATACGATGCTGTTTTAAATATTTCTTAAAAGTTTGTTCCTCAAGGGAATCGAACCGTGGCTAATCTATACTTGTTTCAAAGTTTCAAAGCTAAACCCCTATACCACTTCCAATTCTGTTAACTTATATTAATATTAATAGGAATAGTTATTATTATTAAATTGTGAAATCATCTTCTTCCAATCTAATCCCTATTTAGTTTTCCGATTTTACCTCTCCATGTCCATCGAAGTGGAAACACCAAAAGCTTGTCTTAATGCCACGGAGATTGCGTGACGAAGCTCAAAATGCTGTGTGGATAAGTCCCAATGCTCAACCGTTCTCATTCTCCTTGTAATTGACACAATTTAGGGGATGGGATTGCAATGAGGAAAAAGATTGACAAAGATACATAGATATGAAGGAGGTAAAGAGAGTGAGATGAGAAGGAGAAGAAGCAAACTAAGCCTAAGTTTTACCGTCAGTTTTACCAAATTTAAGATTTGGGAGAAGCGGTATCTACCCAACCTAGATTGGAGCAGTGCCGATAGCGTCAAATGGGAGAAATATGATTTGGAGATTTCATAATAATAGCTGTTAGTATTAATACAAGTTAACAAAATTGTAAGTGGTCTAGTGGTTTATCTTTGCAACTATCATATCTTTTCAACAATTTTTTTTTAAATTTCAAAACGACGTTGTATGACAAATTTAACAGAGGTTAGAAACAAAAAGTGATCATGTTAACTCAATTTGTTAACCATTTTAACGACTTCCTATAAATGAATTAGTAAAAATATGGTAGAGGTTAAAACGGTTAGTCAAGATAAGTTGAGGTTTTAAATGATCCACGAGAAAGTTCATCGGTTTTTTCAACCAAATTTGAAATTTGGTGATTTAAATGACATTTTTCCCATTTAAAAAAAAAAAACGGAGCTTTTATACCTGTTAACTTAGTGCATTTTTTTTCATTTGTGTAAAGTTTCAGATTTATGCTCCTTCATCTATATTATTAAAACAAAAGTGCTATAAATCTATTTACAAGAAGTCATTAATTTTTTTTTAAAAGTATTTTGACTTAGATGTCAACAAAATAGGTGCTAACATGTCAGGCTCTAGTAAAATTAAACTGATTTATTATATAATAGATTCAAACAACATATTATCTTTCAGTTTTCATTATCTACAATAATTTTTTCTCCTTCTTCTTTATTTGATTACTAGGGTAGCGGAAGCTTGTATATCTATTTATATTTTTGACATGTTTTTGTTTTTATATTATGTTAAATACATTTTGTGATATTATATTATATTATTTTTTCCTTTATATTATGTTTTTACTTGTTAGTGATGCACACATTCTCGTCGCATCCTCCATCTAATCGATAGTAACATTCCTTTTCATTTCTTGTTATTTTGGGTAAAATATATCATGATTGTAACTGTTAGAAATTCTCTTAAATGTTTGTTCAACTATATATATATATATAGTAGATCTTTTGTACGTGATTACACGCTTTACGTAGATTGTGTATTTTTCTCAATCATTTGTGGCATTTATTTTAAATAGCTTTTCATAATTTGAAACTAATATACTGAAAAATATATGAAAGTATAAAGCTGAAGAAAATAAGTTGACTTTTTTTAATACTGTTGTCTTTTTCTAATTTGACGTTGGTGTTATATGCACTTAGCGTTTTTATACTGTCTTTAACTGGTTTAATTTGACCCATCTTACATGTTTTTTGAAGTTGCTAAGGACATCCACAAAGAGGGTGAAAATTAAAAGTAATGAGCATACATAAAAAGCAATTTTACAATCGAAGTTGCTAAGGACATACTCAAATTTATTCTTCGTGTTAAAGTGAATAATAACTTTTCTACAATGTTTATAAAAGTAATGAGCATACATAAGAAGCAATTTTATTGAACTTAAGACAACATAGATTATAGGCTCGTATAAACACTAACTTTTTTTAAAAAGTACCCAATTAGAATTAATTTCAAAAAATCAGGTCGACTCATCCAATTTGATCAAATTCTAAACTAACAATTTGATCAAATTCTAAACTAACAATTTGTTCAAATCTAAATTAACAATTTGATCTACGGAGTTGTGAAAGGTTAAAAGCTTTTGATCTATACAAAGAAAAAACACTATACAAAGAAAAAACACTATACAAATCATTGTACTCATTGTTCAAATTTTCAAACGTTATTCAATTTCAAACATATTACAACACATTCTAAGAAGGTTTCAAACTTATGTTGTACTTAAAGTTAATGATCAAAGATTATCACATAAGTTTACAACAATAACAGAGAAGAGAAAAAAAACTTACAGCTAAAAGTCTTGAACAGACACATTGTAACTCAAGC